GGGGGGGGGGGGAGTATCCAGGAATTTGAAATGCTGATAGAATAAAGAAGCTGGAGAGCCAAGAGAACAGATCTCAATTCTGCCCCCTGGTCTGGGCCACAGGCTCCTACAACTGGCTGAGAGGAAGGTGTTTTAGTTTTGTAAAGCCTTGGTTTTTACCTCGGAGAAGTGGGAACAAGAGCTGCCACCAATATATCTGTCTTATGAAGAGGTCTGCAGATCGATTAGGAAATTGTGAGGAAAGTTATATTTTTTTAATAAATTTATTTTCCAGCTACCTTCGTTGTCCTCATTTCCCATTTTTCATGTGGGCAAAAAAACAAGAGGAAGGCACTATGATAAACTTAAGAAAAACAATATACAAAAGATACGGATTTAAAGACTCTGAATTAAAATTTAGTTCTGCCCTTTATTATTTGCATGACCTTGATCGAGCGAATCACTTAACCTCCCTGAGCCTTCCTTTTCTCACCTGGAAAATGATAAAAATAGTATTATTTACTTCACAGATTTATGTTTGGTATTAAATGAGGTAATGTAAACAAAAAGTGATTTAAAAACCATAAAACACCACACAGGTTATTACAAAGTATCACGCCATTAAAAGTGAGTTTTTGTAAAAGATACTCTTGAGTTTTATTTCAATATTGGGTTTGAACAGGAAAAAAATAGTGTTTATGCTCTTCACAAGCAGTGAAGGCTATTATAAATATTAATACAAGGCCTAGGTATTAGATCACTTCCAACTGCTGAATGATTCTAACACGCCTAAGACCCCAAGAAGAATTTTATCTCAATGTCACTGAATGGGAAGGATGATGAGAGGAAGACATAGCCAGTCAGAGAGGAGAGGAGAGGAGAAACATCTGGAAAATATCAGTACTGTCGAGCCTCCCGGAAACTGACCTCACCACCGAAAGGGTAACAGGCTGCACCCTCCGGAAAGTCTCAGCTCACTGCGTGGTCCCTCTGCTCCATCCTGGGGTAGGAGCTGCTAAGATGTGTCCTCTACCCAGTAACCTTAGATTTGTGGAGGAGACAAAGAAATGCTCCCTCACCAGTCAGAAGTGACCTTTCCTGTCCAGTCCAGGGAAAGGACATTCTAGGAGCCCCCTACCACCATCTGTCCTTGCCTTCCTCCACAGCGGCCCAGATGTCCCCCAGGAACCCTGCAGGATCTCACCAGCTCATCTATAATTGGAGGAAGATGCAACACCTTTTCAAGGTGATGATTATGAAAAGTCAGGCAACTGGAATTCCAGGCCCCGTCCGCCACAGGCAGAACTCACTTTCAACCCCTTCTTTTAGCAAGTGCCCCCATAAGAATGACTTATCAAATGCCCTTTTGCAAGTCTAATCATGTACAAACCACATAAGCTTTGTCAAAATACATGTCCTTAATGTCCTACTTGTTTTCCCACAGGGTTCACAAGAAGGCCTTCAGCCCTGCTCAGTTTGGCCAAGGAGAACAACTGCTGAATGAACAGTTTGAACGTGGCCACGTCAGCCTTCGAATTCAATTTAGTCAGTTCAGCAGCTCGGGTGATCTTTGAACATTCACCATGATCTTCAGGAAAGAAACGTAATGTCCTGATCTAGCTGAAGTGCAAGGAATGCTCAGCTCATTTTTTAAAATCGTACATACACAAGGATGCTTGTCATTCACCTGCGTAACCTCATAGCCCTTTCTCTGTGCCCTGGGCACTACATTGCCCGATGCCCCCACCCTGCAAAATGAAGACAAGGGGCACCTGATTCTCTGGGGCTTCCAGGTATATTCTAGGTCAGTCACTTTCTCTTGATTTTGCTCTGCATTTATTCAAAAGGGCATTAGCTACTTTCTAGCCCTAGTAACTAATGCTTTAGTATTTCACAATGATATGTTATCTCCTGTAGGTGGAGCCTGTTCACTCCTGTATGTTTAACAAACACTCCAACATCACTTAGTGTGGCTTGGAAAACGCTTGGAAGTCATACCAACAATCTATTACAGACAACCTGATAAAAAAATAGCAACTAAGTTAGCAACACTTCTCATTTAATATCAAACTGCATTTAAATACTATGTTGAACTCCAACCCATGTCTAATAATGAATCTCCCACCTTCTATGTCAAGATGGGGGCATCAAAATGCTGGCTAAGATACTGATGGTCTTTTCAGTCAGTCAGTACCAAATATTTACATGTCACAGGAAAAGGGGCCCCACTCATGTGGAGTTTACTGGTATAATTTTGACCACAGACCTAAAGAACTCAACCTTCCATGTCACCTTGGTTCTAAGGAAGGTTTATTAATACCACATCTAAACTGAACTGTATCACAGAGCAACAGAAAAATCTCCTCTTAAATTATACCTCAAAAATATGTTAAAAAAAGAAAAGTCTGGGCTTTTGGCCCTTTTGCTTACAGCTGCCCAGATGTCTGTTAAGAACAGGGGGTTAGGGGGTGTACTGGAGGCAACCAATTGATGTTTCCCTTTCACATAGATGTTTCTCTCTCTCTCTCAAATCAATAAACATATCCTTGGGTGGGGATTTTTTTAAAAAGATGTACGGGGGAGGTCAGCAAGTTTTTAGACACACAAGTGAGACCAGCAGGCCTGGGAGGAGAAGGTGCAGTTTATTCAGGAGGAATCACATACTCTGCTCACATTCAAGAATGCTGTCCATTCTCTGCAGTGAAAAATACTCAGCAGCTCTGTAAATTACAGACCTCCAGTTTCTAGGTCATAAGAACCCCAGGTCACAAACACAGCCATTTCATCAATATTTTTATTTCTACCCTGCTGATAAGAGGCTGAATCTGTACATATAGCATTGTAGGTCAGGGGGGTGGTGGGGGAGTTGTTCATACTCCTGTAGGTGGAACCTATCAAAAGTAGCTTTCCTCTATTTGACTTTGAGGCTTTCCTCAACTTCCCTTGTATTATGTCTATAGCTTTGAAGAACTTTGAAACTTCCATGATCTATATATAAAGCTGGTTTTCAGTCTCTCTCCTCACATGTGGGAAAGACCTGTGTTCTCGGTCTCACCTGCATGGGGAGGGAGGCTTTGCACCCCTCTCACCCTCCTCAGACACTGCTGCATCTAACCTTACAAAAGAAGGGGGTGACAAAAGCGTGTCTCTCGCCAGCCCCTGCCTGGTCCAGGTGATCTCACTCTCCTTGCTTTAAGATTTACTTACCAGAACTGGAGAAGGGGACACTCAAATGACAGCGGAGGCCACTTAGGCACCTTCTAGGGCAGCCATGCCCTGTGCCTCAAGAGACCTGTGCTTATGCATTGCTGGGCACTGGGATAAGTTGGTGAGTTTGGGGGGGGG